TAGGGGTGCACACAAGAATGGTGGTGAATTGTAGTTCAATTAGGGGTGCACACTAGAATGGTGGTGGCGAACTGTAGCTCAGTTAGGGGTGCACACAAGAATGGTGGTGAACTGTAGTTCAGTTAGGGTGCACACGAGAATGGTGGTGGCGAATTGTAGTTCAGTTAGGGGTGCACACAAGAATGGTGGTGATAAATTAAAAAATGTATATTTTTTATGTTCACAGGCAAAGAAATTTGTTGAGTCTGCTCCTCAGGTCGTCAAAGCAGATATTAGTAAAGAAGAAGCAGAGGAAACTAAGAAGAAATTGGAAGCTGCGGGTGGAGAAGTGTTGATAGAATAGTTTATTTATATTCATGTATTGTTTATATTTCTAGTTTTAGATGGTGAATTTGTCAAATATATTGCGTGGAAGTTTGTGTACATTATTAGTTGACAGTCGTGACATTACAAAGAAGAAAACAATGCCCTTTCTATATTCAATTATAGCCTGTTAAATGGGGATGTCTGTGTGTCTGACACATTATTAAAAATTGCACCATTAATGATATGTCACATTTGCATTCTTTCCCACTGCTGTTAGATGTGGGGAAAAAGATTAAACTTCACAAATGTTTTTTCTATTTTTAATTCAAAATGAAGTTGTAATGCTTTGGAAATATCACAAAATCTGTTTCCATGGAAACAATTGTATTTAAGTATGTCTACGGTCAAATTCACACTTCTCATATGCCCCCCTTTTTGCAGTAAGATTCTCCAGAATACTATTATATTCTTTTTATTGGGATATGAATGATGTCAAGTAAGCAGATTACTCTGTACCCTTGATGTTGCTATATTAAGACAATTCTGGTGGAACAAGACTTTTGACTCTTGCGTGTGAAGCACATAACGAGTCTGCTCCACTGATATCTCAATCAGATTTAAATGAAACTTGGGACATGCACACTCTGCACAATTTGGAAATTTCCATGACGCCTTGTACACAGGTGTTTTTTGGGTAATCCACAGATCTGATTACATGTACTTCAAAGACCAAACCATGCACATCACCTAACAATTGTATAAATAGGGTTACGTGACCTCATTAATATGCACAACTAATTTAGGGCACTGTTGCGAGAAAAGCAATTAGTGGTATAATATGACCTCATTAATATGCCTAAATAGCTCGAGCACTTAGTCAGGGATATACATCAGACATGGTCATGTGACCAAGAATTTGCACAACTAACATTTTAAATGCCTGTTTCGTCCGACACACGACCAAAATATCAAGCAAGTAATTTATTCTACCATAGCCTTTTGGAAAACTGATCATTTGTTCAAATGACAAAGGCATGTCTATGCAATTTGTGCATTAGAGATGTGCTACCAATATAGTTGTACTTCATGCCTCAGCACAGAGGAACACTTTCTAAGCAGGGCCAATAAAGTTTCACATGAAGATGCACACATTCAATTCTTTAATACTTTATTGTAAGAAATGATAAGTCAGGAAATCATTCCTTCATATAAAATAGCAACAAAAACAAATTACAAAACTGATCATGATTTAATAAGTCTTTGATGCACTTAGAGAAAATTACGATCAATGTGAGATTTTGTTATGAACAGCAACAAGGTGCAAGATGTGCACTGTAAAACAAAATGCCTTTTTGAATACCCTGTTGTATTATTGTAAAATGGAACTATTGATGTTGTAGATTCCCAGTCTTTAAAAAAACATCCAGTACTGCAAACCAATCCCAGAAATTTGTCTCCCAAAATGAAACACAGAATTTTCCAGCTGTCATACAAGTGAATATTTACTTGTAGATTCAAGACGGTTGCTGCCACATCGTAAATTAGCTGCATTTATTTTTGTTCGCAAACTGAAACTTGTAATATTGGCATGCATCTTTCATACTCTAGTGCAGAGTAATCAAGTACACAGTTAAGACGCCGAACTTTTTTACCGGTACATAAGGATGTATTTACAAGAAATCTACATAGTGATTTTGTGGAGGACGAGACAGTATCACAGAAATTTGTATTTTGATTATAAAAAATAATGTCTTTTCTGAAGTTTGCTATTATACATACATGATCACACATCCATAATTGAAATGAAGATAATTGTACATTTCCTGAATGTAGCTATAATATTACCAAAATACTGATATACCACTAAAAAGGTACATTTATGCGACTTTACCAATAATTTTGACAATCTAAGACAATAATTTAGGGGATTTGTGATGTCATTGTTGAAATAATATTAATATACAGTTATACTCACTTGAAGAGATTTAGGTTAAAGATGAGGTACTATCATTCCTTGACAATAGAGTTCAATTTCGCTCTGAGCATAGGCAAGTACTCAATTAGCTTCAGATTCATAGTTTGTTTCGAAAAGAGAAAAACTGTCGCAGAGTTCATGATTACCGGTAATAACAGCAAATAAAGCTGAATATAATTTTTATACAACTTTTTTGTTAATCTTTCAGTGGCTACTTGTCTTCATCAAAATTTGTAAAAAAAAATATTGTTATTTTGTGAAAGATTACAAAAGTTGATCGCCATTCAGGTTATAAATTATTGTATCCCCCACATAGTGTTCAAATTATTGTATCCCCCACATAGTGTTCAAATTATTGTATCCCCCACATAGTGTTCAAATTATTGTATCCCCCACATAGTGTTCAAATTATTGTATCCCCCACATAGTGTTCAAATTATTGTTGCATCAACTGTTTGCTTGTTCATGCAATTATGGTATGTTGAACAGTGGATGGAGGTTTGAACATTACACTATTTGGGGGGAAAAGTCATGTGGTCCCATCTGTATGGCGGTTTGTGAATCAAGTCTATACTGGAATATTGCAGCAGTTACAGAATGTTTGCAGGACAGAGTCAAGAGATGGTATTTATCTATAAGGTATCAACGATCTGCAAAATCATCCATTTTTATTATTTCTGTAATTTATCGATCACAATGAATGTACAGAGCCATTTCCTGGACATTGCCAACTATCTCTGGTTCAGAAAGCACACTGGGAATATGTGATATACCTAGCTTTATCAGATCTGGGTACAAAATGTACATGTAATTGCTGCAATATGTAGCTACTATTTGTACATATATAATTACTGGTAAAACTTGCTGTACTGTCAAAATGTCACTGACATGTTGCACATATTATCACAACATAATATCCATTCACCATTGTTTCACATAATACAATATGCATGAAGTCATTATTTCAGCTTATTGGTAACATATCACTATGTATACACTGGTATGTTGCACATAATGCTGCTATGAACACACAGTAATTGGTATGTTGCACATAATGCCACTATGAACACATAGTAACTGGTATGTTGCACTTAATGCCACTATGAACACCTAAGTAACTGGTATGTTGCACATAATGCCAATATGAACACATAGTAACTGGTATGTTGCACATGATGCCACTATGAACACATAGTAACTGGTATGTTGTACATAATGCCACTATGAACATATAGTAACTGGTATGTTGCACATGATGCCACTATGAACATAGTAACTGGTATGTTGCACATAGTGCAACTATGAACACATAGTAACTGGTATGTTGCACATAGTGCAACTATGAACACATAGTAACTGGTATGTTGCACATAATGCCACTATGAACACATAACACTGCTACACTATTGGTAATGTATCACTGTATACACTGGTATGTTGTACATGCCACCAAGTCACTTACAGTAACTGGTATACATAATGCAACTATGTACACATAATACAGCTACATTTCTGTTCTGTTATGCTTCAACAATATGTACAACCAATTCATTACTGCTACACAATTATGTACACAGATAGTCAATGCTATGTTGCTTGAACTGTTCCTTTCAAATACCAAAATGCACCCCTACTCACACAGCAGGTCTGAAAAATACAAATCATAAGAGATTCATAAGTATATCATATACAATATAAATATACTGTTATTATTGAAATTATTGACATATTCCTTTTAATTCAAACATTATTGTCTTATTTTTCATGAATCTAATACTAGATATTTATTTGAATTTGAAACGAGTCAATGACCTTTTTCCAACACTTATTTCCATATATCCAGTAATGTAGCAAAGTATGCCACTCACTTATATTATTGTTAGAAAACTTCCTCAGTGACGAAATGAGTGTGACATGTTTGTTTTTTCATTTTCACCTCACTTTACTAACCTTTATAATTTTATCAAACTCCGCCTTGCTGCTGGGCTCCATTTTTAAAGTCTCTTGAAATTTTTCGGTAAATTGGTTACGTCTATATTTAAAGTTATGTTGATACATGTCTATTATGACACTGCGATACTGAAAAATAGAATATTGGATGAAGTAATAAAACAAACAATCACAAACTTACTATACACCAGGGCAACAGAGTATAGAGTTTCCGCTTTTTACTTCTACAATGTATAAAATTAGGTAAACTATATGCGATTTTAACCCTTAACTAACCACTTCTGTGCATTACCCTGGAGCATCTATGCACTAAGTTTCATTGACATGTGGTGATGAGTACATATCAGTAAAAAAAAAACAATTGATTATTATGCAAATTAGTTGATTAACATGCATTGATTTTAACCCAAAACTAAACAGGTCTATGCATTGTCTGTGCATTTTCCTAGAGCATCTACGTGCCGAGTTTCAATTAATGTGATGATTAGTACTTGAGATATCAGAAGAAAAGCCAAAAATTGATCAATTATTATGTAATTTAGGTAGTTTATATGCATAGATTTTCACCAAAAACTAATTAGGTCTGTGCATTGTCTCAAAACACCATGTACTAAGTTTCATTGAAATGACCAGCAGTTCTACATACATAAACACAGACAGAGTAACTGCAATGACTCCCATTCTGTGCTTCACACACTGAAATCTAAAACAAAATCATAGTTTCAATCACAGCCCCTCCATCGCGATCCATAACTTACAATACTCAAAACAGTAATTAGACCGTTTTTATAAATCAATTAAATTATAAATAAAACATTATTGAAAGTCTTTTCATTAGATAGAGTTTCAAAAATGCATAACATGCCTAAAATTACAAACATGTGCAGCCTACAGATACACATAACGTGCACCCCACATATACGCATGTTAGAAATTTACGTGATTGATCTGACATGTATATTAGTCTGAGGTTTGCTATACGTACATACAGACAGACAGACAGACAGTAACTGCAAAGACTCCCATATGATAGTCAAACAAAGACTATTTCCATTTCAGACATCCAACAAGAACTAAACAAGACTATTATATGAAAGTTGAAAACAACTTGAACTTGTACTGAATATATTTACCTGGTCGTATGCATCCCCATGATTAGCCAATGCCAAGATTCTTTTGTCCTCAACTGACGTATTATTAGGCCACTGTTGTAAAAACAAATTTATAAAGTAATTAAAACAAACAAGTCTTCATTAATACCAAGATCTTTTACAAGTCACTTCAAAGACGTGAACATGTTTCAACTGCTATATATACACCAGGTAATCACGTATTATCTCTGTAAGTGAATGATCACAAAATCACAAAGTTGATTTATAAAAGTATTGATAATGAACTTGTATGCAAGACTTCACTTGGCATATGGTCTATATCTATTCAATACACTCTGGGTACTGTAAACGCATTAATTATTCACGGGTTTTAATTTCACTATTTTCGCTGATAAGTAAAATCCACTAAATTAAATCTATATTTAATTAGTAAAATAACAATAAAACACATTGTTTCCTTGACAAATTCGTGAAATTAAAACACTTTGAATATGCTCAAAACATCAGAATAGTGAAAATAAATGGTTTTAAAGTATATAATATCCAATGAGTGACCCATGATATCAGATTTATTAAACAATTTAATAATTTTCATATGGAAATTACAACACAAGTTTAATAAATCTGACATCATGGGCAAAAATTTCGATAATTTATTGTATTCCATCTCATTTGCATGAAGAAACAGCGCTCCCATAGAGTCAGTTTATAGTCTGATTACAAAATAATTCATTCATGTTATAGCAGCACATTGGCGACCTTTACACACAATGAGGTAATTGTATCAGTGATATTACATGAGAGATCAACAAGCAGTACAGTGGGAGAAATTAATCTTGTGTGTTGTCAAGATGGGAGAATTAGGTATGGATTTCTATAAACAAAACCAACCTTTAACTAAATGTCTGAAACTATCAGCATATTGCGAGAATATACAAATTTACTGTCTTTCAAACAGTAATAGAAAATGTATTGTCTCGTTTATATAGTTAGTTAGCAAACAAGCCATATACTAGGAGATGATCTGTTGGTGATATTAAAGTATCAAAATATATTCGAGAACCAATTAAGGCAGCGAGACTATTATTTGTGTTGAAAATTACGATTTTTACATTTATTTATTAATTGATGAAATGCACCATAAACTTTCATATGATGAAGTCAATATAACATAGAATGTCATGTAAGTTGGTTAAAATGTAGATTTTCTGAAGGGAAGCAAGGCAGTCTCAGTAGTGTTTTCCAAAATCAACAACACAGGTTTAATCTGTGTGCCTATAAGTTTCAAAGATAAACTCAAGACAAAGCAATGTTAGGATGTGTTATCAGTAGCTATCTGACACACAATGAGTGTTTCCAAACATTTGAGTGGTTTGTCTCCGCCCCTGTTTGTTTCACAGATTAGTCATTTGCATATGAATGTGTCAGACACAAGGTC